GAAACATTATAATATCAAAATTGTTAAATATCTGAAAGTCAACAAAACCTATAAAACATTGAGGAAACATTACTATTTATCAAAAATAGACAAGAATGTTTACAAATTTATGAGTTTTGTCAAAGAAATAAAGGATCCAATTAACAACTGGCTAAACTTCTATAACCATTGGAGACATTTCAAAAAAGATAGAAATAAATTATTATGAATTTTATTATACAATTATTAATAATGCATTAAGGATTTAATGCAATTATGGTTTTTGTAAATCAACTATTCAAAAGGGCTATCTTCTGTTCAATACATACCTTTGTCATCATACCAGAAGTTGTAAAAATATTTTTTAACAATATTTTTCATTACCATGGGCTGCTAAAAATAATTGTGTTAGATAGGGATGCCAAATTCACCAGTATTTTTAGAGATATCTCTTTAAACAATTGAAAACAAAACTTGTAATGTCAACTACTTTTTATTTACAAACTAACAGATAAACTAAAAGAATGAATCAAATCTTGAAGAAAATATTATTAGTCTATACCACATATAGACAGGATCAATGGATGAATACTTGCCTGCTGTTGAGTTTGTATATAACAATTCAAAATTACTATTTATTGGACACACACCATTCAAGCTTGACTGCAGATAATATTTTATTATACTAATATTACAACAAAAGTTATCAACACACTTGCTATAAATGATCTCACTTAATATTGGAATAATATAATTCAAATAGCAAAAAATACTTTGATAATTGTGCAAGATTGACAAAGTTTATATGTCAACCAACATTATTGCTATATCATATATAATATTGAAGATAAAGTTCTCTTGTTGACACAAAATATCAACAATCCTGTAAATAAAAATTGACTACAAGAAACTTACATTAAGATTTCTTGGACCATTCAACATCACTGCTATTATTTTATCAACCATATATAAACTGGACCTGCTTGTAACAATGAGAATACATATTATCTTTTATATTTCAATACTAAAGCCATATAAGAAGTTATTAAATAAGTTTTCATATGCTGCATTACTACCATCTATTACTATACCTGAATCTGATGAGTCAGAATATGAAGTTGAATTTATTTTGGACAAACAAATCATCTAAGAAAAAATATAATATCTGATAAAATAAATGGGATATCCACTACATACCTGTTTTGTGTATTCTCCTTTGGTTTTGAAAAAAGCAGTAGAGTATTTTTTCTTAGTAAAGGTTTTCTTGGAAGCTTCTTTTAATGTTTCTTGAAGAGTTTTTGTGTATTATCAAAAAGAAATTTTTTTAAAAAATTTGTGATTTGCAAAAAAAAATTTTATATTTATATATTAATAAATAATTATATTATTATATTGTAATTGTTAATAAATTCTTGTTATTAACTGATGCAGCTACATGATCCAAACCATATATGTGTTTGTATTACCATAAAAAAAAATTTGATCGACAATATGATTCTGAATTAAATATGAATTTCAATTAATTATTATATGTTACTTAGTAATTCTACTATAATATGGTTTTTGAAAAATGGTTGAATTCAATTCCACCATATGTATAATCCAAACCAATGTAATTGTCAAAAATAATTTACAGAAGATTAACATGTACCTGGTGAGAATCGACCTTCAACCCTAATTATGAACCCACCCACGAGGTATAAAGTTGATACTCGGGCAGAAATGGGTAGGTAGCATTAGTTAAATAGACTGTTCATGTAATGACTATGTAATCTGTAATTGATTAATAAAAGCCGCACATGTATCGCACTTAGCCCAAAAAAAAATTCTTGTTATTAAAATTTGATTTTATTATTTAAATTATAAAAGTATAATAATAATTTTGTTAATTAAATTTTTATTAATTAAATTTTAATATTATTGCTTAAATTTGTAAATTATATATATAATATACTGTATATATATTTATATTTAATCAGACCATATGCCACTTATATTTATTTGTTTCAATCTTTGGAATGAGTAATTCTAGTATAGATATTATATAGAATATAAATATATATACTATTGATAAAACTTATTAACATTATATAGCATATTCATCAATTGCTAATATAGTCTCTAGATATGCTTAAGAAAATAAAAAAGTTGTTTAATTAAAGAAAAATATTATTTATCTATCTAAAATATTATAGTCAGCTCTTTATTAAGACTATTATCCCAACTTAATCTCTGTGGTTTTAAGATATAAAAAATTTTATTTTTTTGAAAAAGTAAAAGTGAAAAGTAAAAGAGTAAGAAAAAAGTTTGTATTGGTAAAATAAAAATACATTTAAATTAATTACCAGTTTAATAAGAATTTTCTTTAATCTTGAAGAGAAAAGAAATTGGTACAAGAGAGAAGAAAAAAGACTTCAAGCCATTTATTATTAAAAGAACATCTTGACATCTCACTCTTTTATCTTATTCAATTATGTTATTAGTTATAATATAATATAACATGAAATATAGTAAGTATATAACTTGTTTACATTTCTTTTATATATTAATTAATCAATTCAAGATTTCAATCAATTATCAATCAGAATTTCCAATGTAACAAAAAATTCAAAGTCAAACTGAAATAGAAAAAATTCTTTAGAAAAATCAAAAAAAATTTTGATATACTTGAAAGTATTATTATAGAAATATATAATTGATAAAGAATTATACATCTAAATAAATAGGTTTCTACTAGTTTATTTATCTATCTCGAATATCAAATATTTCTTATAGTGAATTCAAAATTTTTATGAAGCTTGGGAAATATATTTATTAATAGGCCCAACTAGCTTATTTACTCACTTCAGATATCAGATGTTTCTTTATAATAAATTCAAGGTTCTTATGAAGTTTGAAAAATGCATTTATTAATGGTTCACTTTCTAGAGTTTCAAATATAAGAAAAATATAATAAAGAATATTTTTCAACAGGTTTTTTTTTTCAATAAGATGTTCTTGCCATAAGCCAAATAAATAAAGTTTTGTTTATTTTGTCATTGAAATATACAAAGTTTTTTGAAAAAGAAAAGATAGACAAGTAAAAGAGGCACCAGCCTTTAGGAAGTAATGTATTAAGAAAAGTATATAGATTTTATTATTAAAAATAAAGAATACATTTAAGAATGTCTGTTTTTTGGAGTTGGCAAAGAATCAGTGAAAAGAATTATATTTTTTTTTAATTAATAATTTTAAATTTGTAAATTATATAAATATTTTTTAAGGATTAAATAAATATATAAAAAACTTAACATTTTAATATGAATATAATATTATTATTGAAAAATATTTTAATTGAAAATTAATTAGATATTGTGGTTACAATAGGTTTAAACATTTTTTTTTGATTTTTATAAAATTTAATTATTAAAATTTAATTGATTATTGAATTTGTATTAATTGTTTGGAGATATAAAAACAATTTTGATTTTTGCATTTATAAAAATTTTGTGAATTTTAAAGTAAAACAATATTATACTGTATATAAATAAAAAAGTAATTGAAAAAGATTGATCGGAATAAACAAGAGATTTAATATAAATAAATTAATAAAAGTTTTTAAAAAAAGATATATAGTAAACCGAATTATAAAGAAAAATTGCCGTGGGTCTTTTTTTATACAAATAGCTATATAATATATTTAAAAAATATTTTAAAGAATTGATAATAAATAAGTATGTTAAATATTTTAATAAATCTTTTAAATACTTAAGCTTAATATTATACTATATATTTGTACTAGGAACGACCCTTTTCAAGGGTCGATGTGGTTAAAAACTTTATTCGATATTTTTAAATAAAATTATGATTATTATTCATGGAAAAAGAATGTTTTTTAAATATTTATAAAGATAATAATCTATAATATATTTTTTTTTTTGGATAAGACTTAAAAAAATTTTTTTAAAAAAAAGTTCAAATAATGATTTTATTTTAATTTTTAATTTTGCAATGCGCATTCGGCTTTATTTTTTAAATAAATCACTTATTTCTCGTCAGCTTTTCTAGTAAATGTGATTGAAGAATGTATTTTTGGAAAAAAAACCTTTCATTAAAGAAATTCTATTTTTACGTTGATGTACAAAATAATAAAAATGGCAATGGATAACGGAATTTTAAAATGATTCAAAACAATTTTAGTCTGATTGTCGTACAGTCAGTCAGTCCTGGAAATGTGATGTCATTAAAAAACGGTCGAATAAAAATAGACTCGGAACAATTCCTAAAAAATGCAGGAATGCTTTAATGGCCCGAATAGATATATGAAAGACTTCTTTATTTTAATTATATTATCGAAATCTGATGAGATTATCCTCTTTTTTTAGTAAAGATTAGGTTGTGTAAATTACGACCGTGAATCACACTCCAAATTGCTTTCATTAATATTACGGCGTTGAAGCAGAGTATCACACTGTGCGCTGTAATATTTCAATTAAAGGAACCGATGAAAGGTGAAATATACAATAAATAAAGCAATAATGAAAGGTTGAAATATAAATAAAATAACAGTGGAAAGTCGAATATACGTAAACAAAAAAACAACGATAAGGGTATTCCGTGATACGCCTATCTTTAAAAAACTTTTTGCCGAAAGATCTGGGAAGAAAAAAAGAATAAGAGGCGGTATTACTCATATTATAAGCACTTGGTATATTATTAAATGCACCCATTCTCCATTAACATTAGGTTACAAAATGAAGTTCAAGACATACGCAAAAGAAGTTTAAAGATTTTATTTAATAAATAGAATAATTGTGGTTTACGATATAACAATATATGAAACGTATTTAGTATGTTAATTACTAGATCACAAGAGTAAAAAATAAAAGAGAGAATTTTTGCTTTGTACACTACGTGAAGTTCGAAGGCCCAAAAATGTTGCTTTATCAAATGCGCAGCATTGCAATAGGATGTTTATCTCGTTTATGAAAAAATTGGATTATTCGAGGGTAACAAATTTTTCGAGTTAAATGTATCTCACAATGAATCGCAATGGAGTTTTTCAGAAGGTATAGTGCTATTCCACTTTGTGTCTTTATGTACTAATAAACCAATTTATTAGAAAAAATATTCGTTCTTTTTTACAATGATCAACGCAGATCATAAAGATACTATGAGGTCAAAGAAATGTAGACATTAGCTATTGATCGCATTTTTAATTTTGTACTGTATTAAAAAAAATAATTACGTGTCAAAAAAAATACATTTTTAGAATCAAAGAAACACAATCAACTATTCTATATAAAATTTGCTTTGAATAATTGTGTCGGAGTTTCACGGAATTTCACCATTATACAGAGTTGTATTGCCTCATTCTAAATGTTGACTATTTACGTATAGTGTAATTACACTAAAGAAATTATTCTTTTCGCATAGAAAATTTGTCGGAACGACAACAGTATACGTACAGTGGTGAGCATATTTTAACAAATACAGTAAGTATGAAAATTTCTGGGTGACCCATAGGAAAAAGTGCAAGAATATTGAATCAAGATAAAAACTAATACTATTTTTCAAATAAAAATATAAAAGTCCTTTTTTACGTTTTTTTTTGTAGTTTACACGGAATCCTTTTGTATTTACGGAATTCCTTTGTATTTGTATAATACATGTGATTTCTTAAAGTATAATTTTGAGGGTTTTGTTTTTTTAAAGCGAAAATAAATGAAAAATTAAATTTTTCATTAACATCCAAAATCAATTCCATAGATTACCAGGAAACGGTTGGATGGTATAGTTAACTAAACTACCGTCGATAAGATCATTGACTTGCGTTTGTGTCAATGGCTGTGACATTACTTCGATTTGTGGATTTTTGGTCTTAACAATTTTCTCTTCTACAAACTTTTTTTTTTTTTCTTTTACTGTGCTTGGTGGACAAATTAGTTGAGAAATGATTCGTAGACGAATGACGCTTCTAGTCCTTAACGTATGCTTATAGTGAACCATTTTGTTTTTCAAAAAAAAATTTTTTTTTTTTTGTTAGGATAATTGGGGAGAACACCGATCTCCGATATTTTTTATATGTTTAGGAGCCGCTGCGCACACTTCCTATACGACAATGTTTTCTACAAGTTTATCAAATATTTACGAGTACCCTTACACCATCAAAAAGATTAACGATCTTCGATTAGGAACATATCGGATTTGCGATTCGTTATCTGTTAAACACTCTTGCACCACGGATACAAGTTGTTAAACAGGCGGGATTTATTTTTATTTTATTTTACCTTTACCAAAACGGACTTACGCAGTATGCACTTTGCATTATCCTTTATTAGAATAATGAATGGATTTGATAACCATAATCAATCCACAGTAGATGCTGTTAAATCATTGTGGAATTCAAAAAAAAAAAAAAAAAGAGCAGACCGTGTGAATTGTAGACAAAAATGGTTAGTCACTTGTCAAACCGTAACTTGAAAAAAAACGGTATTGAACTTATTATTACAGTAAAATTTTTACCAACAAATAATAACACAAATTTCTAAATCAAATAATTATTTTAGGAATACAGTAACGAAATATACGGTTTAATAAAATATAACTGTTCTGATGAAAATAGAATTTCTTTTATATATATGGTTATACAGAATAATAATTTAATAAATTAATGATAACAAAAAATATGTGATAAATTTTATATTACTTTTAGAATAAGGATGTTATCATTATCAAGTTATCGCGCGATTATACAGTATATAAATAAATAACAACAGCAATAATAATAATAATTTATATGAAATTTTTATTAAAATAAATTATTTGATTTTATGTTAAAATAATAATATTGATTTTTTTTTTTTATTACTTTCAAAAAATTTTTAAAAATTTTCTTATTGTTTTATATTATAATTATTTTTATAAAGCATTATGTATGTTTTATTTTTTATTTTTTATTTTCCGTAATCAAACAAATATATTTGAAGTTTATTTAATCTTATTGCAGAGTATTATATATTATATATGTTTTATAATTTTGATATTAAATAAACTTTATAAATAATAAATTACTGGTTAAAAAATAATGGTTATATAAAATCAAATAGATATTAAAATTGTAATATAAAAATTAATTGATTATAATTATAATGTTAAAAAAAAATGTTAATTAAAAAAATTTTTTATGATGTTTATTTAAAAAAACAAAAGTAAAAAAATATTTATTAAAAATATTTATAAAATTAATAAAAGCAATAATTATTTTTAACATAAAATTTTATTTACAAAACAAAAAATTATTTTATCTTGAATTTATAATTCAATAGCCATTAAGTTTTTTATGTTATTTTTAGACTTTTTAATATTTAAATTTAATAAATAATAATAATAATAATAATAATAATAATATATATATTAATATAAATTTACATAATTGTATTAATATTAAAAATGTTTTACAATGTGTAAATTATTTATTTTTTTAAATTAATTTAATTATTGAACCTTGCCAAAAAATCAATATTGCAATCATATTTATTTTATTTATTTTTTTACATGAATTTTTTTTTTAAAAAAAAATATTACCAATAAATTATAAAAAAATAACAAAGTAAAAAGCCTTGAAATATACAGCATATATTGCTTAAAATACAATGTTTAATGCCAAAATTTTATCACTAATATCATTAGAGACCGTAAAGGTATTTCGTAACAGCATGATTCCGGTTAGTGTTAGTAGTCAGGCATTTCTTTGAACAATGATACATACAGTGTGTGTTTGTCATATATGCTAATTTTATTTAATCGAGAATAATTTTTTTAATACGCTTTGTTTTCGCATTGGGTTAGTCTGATTTCAGAGATTACGAGTTGCCAAGAGACATTTAGAGCGATACCATATCATAATAAAATAAAAATAAAATTGTTTAAATTTACAATAAATTCCTAATATTTTTGTGTATTTTTTTTTTTTTTTAGATAATGCACTTTATCAAGTTTTTGAGGTGCGTGTGAAAAAACTAGCGTTATACGCTTATCCTTCGGATAGGCGTATAGAAACATATAGCCATATAACAATCATCGGTCAGGAAAAACCATTACCCAATTTTCAATCAGGAAATCCATTGCCCAATTCTCTCAATCAGGAAAACCATTAGCCATTTTTTCAATCAGGAAAAACCATTACCCATTTTTCAATAAGAAACATTTTGATATTTTGATTAGAGTTCGTGCCTTCCAACTTATACTCGGTCACTCGTCTAATATGATT